AATAAAATATTTATATTATACTTAAAATAGTATGTGATGCAACATTCAAAGACCGACAATCCCAGTTTTCGTTTTTTAAATTAAACAAAAATTACTTAGTTTTATGAAATAAAAACGATTAAATAATATAAATTACTAATACATCAAAGGTATAATAAAAAATATTGATATATTTACATAATAGTTACATTTACTTCTAATAATCAATACTTAATAATAAGTATTGCAATAATTATTGAGTAATTCTGGTGAAGGAAAAAATAGAAATTGAATTTTAACATTATGATTTATAATGCAATACATAGCATTTGTACTATAAATGATTAAAAATCATAAGACATTTAAAATTAATTCAGTGATCCCAGTAACACATTTATCAAGCAAAAACTGGCTACTGCCGTGAAAAAAACACAAGTATAATTGAAGTGAACAAAATTATGTTTTAATATAATTAAATCACCATGTTCAAATCTATTTTTAAAATAATTAAAAACTACAAAAATGATCTGTCTGTTTGTTGCACCATTCATTTGATAACGCCATACAATTTATTTAAAAATTATTATTAAAAAGCTTTAATTGTTATTAATCTGTTGTTATAGTACCAATGTATACGACAAAATATTATTTAAACATTTTAGTGATTTAATATTATATTTAGTAATTCCCACCACAACAATATTGTACTGTGCAATATGTGCAAACATTTAACAAAAATCTCATTAGATAAATGAATTCGCATAGTACAACTTACAAAAGTTTACAGGCATCTTGGGTAATCTGAAAGCATTGGAAGTCTAGAAATGTGCAACAGGCACACTGTCTACATTATTGGACATCACTGGGCAGAAAATGAATAATATTTAAACATCATTTTATCATAGAAAGCTTTGTTCACTTAAATAAAATCTTAATAGATGATAATAATAATAATTGTAATTAATAATATCTATTAAATAAAAAAAAATAATACTCTTCTTGTCTATTACCAAGCTTAGACTATGTAGTTTCACATGAATCAATTTGAAATTTGAGAAAAAAATCTCACTTGATCTTTAAAATTACATAAATTAAATAGTATATAATTAATATTATTAGATCATAATTTATAATTTACAGAAACATAACGAGCAGTTTATATAGTTATTATATTAAGAACGTTTTCCCAAAAAAACAGCATTATCAAGCAATTATTTTTATTATGATGATTACATACGTATTACAAATCAATCCAAGTAAAAGGAGGAAATAATGTTGATAATCAAAAATTACAATTCATAAATTTGTGAAAACGCACTATTATAATACTAACATTAACTAGCTAGAACTATAGTTTTAAAAAAAAATGATACAAAATTTGTTTAAAAAAGTTAAATAAATAAATAAATTGAATAGTTATTAAAGGAAAGAATAGAACTTTACCTTGTTAGAAGGTAACAATGACAACTCCTTAGATGATATATCGCCAAGAGGTATAGAGACCTCTTGTGGGGAAGTGCTGGGTTTTTTCTAATGAAAACAAGCATAACAAAAGCATCAGAATGTTATAAATATGTATTATTATTATATTATTTATGTTACTCAGATTCATGCTGTTAAGCAATAATGTAGAGTAAGAAAAGCTACAAATATTGTCAACAATTTTTGTATTAAAAATGTAATCCACAACTATGGCATATTGAATGTTTAAGCCACAATTAATATTAAATTCAAGTCACTTTGAAAATATTTT